CAATCTGTAGAATCTGTAGAATCAATTGACATTATGAAGAATGAGATTCTGATAGCCATCATTTGAATCCAATTTTACATTCTTAAAATAAAATCATTGCTTCGACCGATTGGCAAGATGCTACTGGTGGAACTTCACTGTATATTGTATGAATGCAATGACTTGAAATATTTCAATTTAACAATCAATTGTTGCCTTTTAGCATTTATTCATAGTTGCTTCAATTGTTTTAAGAGTGAACTTCAGTTTGAGCTTTCAATTTGTGCTTAATGACAATGTGACATTTGCATAAACGGAAACTAATGAATAGTTGACATTAAGCAATGGTCGATAGTATATATATTTAATCTGTACATTGTTAAATAATTCTATCTGCGTTATTTGATACAATATTGGTGCTGAATGACTTCCATATAAATTTGTAGTTTTAATTTTTATAACATTCCAGACAACATATTGGATATTCCCAGTATTTATCTTCAGACATTTCAGGTCGCCTTAATCATATTTCATTTAATCATATTCTAATTCTAATTATTCTTTTTCTTTTCTTGTGTATTTCAATGCTATATTCCTTAGATTATTATCAAACAATTTCTCCCGATCTACTCGCAAGAACGGCCTTCATCTTAAATGCTTCTTTTTTATTTTTTATATTTTCCCTTTTACATATCTTCCCTTTTCCTCGTTCATTCATTTCTTCTAAATCTGATAGAGTATTTTCAGGTTTCCTTGAATTATAGCGGGGGAATGGGGAGTGCACGAAACATTGCTACATCATTGCAATTATCTGTTTTTACTAGGAACAATAGCAATGGCGCAATTGTCAACGATGATTGAGTTTTTTTTCAGCTCACACAAAAGATTAATGTTCCTTCTTTTATTGATTTGTATATTATGAGGATGTAATTTATTATCTTCGATATATCCAATATGTTAATTAACTGATTTGCGATAGGCGTGAAAATAAATGAAATTAATCGTTTCACAAAATGATATTAATTTAAGTTAAGATTTGTTTGAAGTATTATTATCTATGGACAGTTCTAGGATTGAGACGAAAAAATTTGTTAAATGAGCAGATAAGGGACATAAAAAGATTGACAAAAAGTTACTAATGATTGTGCCATTAATATCATGTTAAATTCGTTCTCTCCGGTTGACCCATTTGATAATTCCAGAAAAGTATAATAATTCCGGAAAAGTATGATCTAAAGTGCGAATATATGGATATATTGCTTATGAATAAGGTAAACAAGATGCAATATGCTACTATCGGCATTCCAAATGTGACCCTTTTGCGAATGAGTTGAAGAATTCCGGTATGTTTATTGTACTTTTCGTTTTTCTTGCCGATTAACTTTTCAGGTTTTGAGCTTAAATTGACAAATGCTATTTGTTTTAGAAATTAGCTTTTTTTTTTCGCTTACAGGGACATCGGTAAGTAAGTGTACAAAGCATTATTTAGCGAATAGTAAGACGAAGGATAGACAAATAATCGGAAATGCTTATCCAGAACATTTACTGGAATGTAAACCAGTATCAAATGAAATTCAACAACTTCAGGGAATTGACAGCAATTGTGCAGTAAGAATTCCGACTGATGATTTAATTACCAGAAACAATCCGGAACTAATTAATTTTATTTTTCGTAATTTTTAGTTGATTAATGCTGGACTTTGAAATAAGAATTGCATGCTTATGAATGTTTCTGTGAAATGAAAACTGTTAGATGGGGTTTATGCTTTTTCGGCATATTTAGGGAACATTAGTAGCATGGAAAAACCATAAACTGAAAAGTATATCCAGGATAAAAATCTGGAAAAGTACCCGGATGAATGGAAATCAATTCTCAAGAAATACAATTAATTGCACCATCAAACAAAAGAGATGAGTAAGCAAAAGAATTGACAGCTTTTAAGAATTAATTAATTTTGGAAAGTATTGTATACAAAATGGAAAGTTCTGTGCTGGAAGCCATCTCGCATTATTAATGTTGAAGAAAAGTAGTATAGGTTAAAGCACATGAACTAGTATAGCTTGAAGCACATGAAATAGTATAGGTTGAAGCAAATAACTAGCATAGCTTGAAGCACATGAACTAGTATAGCTTGAAGCACATGAAGTAGTACAGGTTGAAGCACATGAAATAGTATAGCTTGAAGCACATGAACTAATATAGCTTGAAGCACATGAACTAATATAGCTTGAAGCACATGAACTAGTACAGCTTGAAGCACATGAATTAGTATAGTATACAACTTGAAGCACTTATACTTTAAGTTTCCTTTCCTTGTTATGCTTATAACAGCAGATAATGCGTTGAAAACAGTAGCTAACTTGAAGAAATGCTAATCAACAAAACGAGTTAATTGTTTTCTTACAATATGCAAATAATTGAAATGATACGCCTTCCCTTAGAAGCTCATAAAGCGTATTGCTTCAGAATGATAAATAATGAACATGGTAATGATGCCGCTTTTTGGCTTTCAAATTGAATTCTGTCGTAATCCAATTGAGAATATGCTGATCATTGTTGCAGTGGTAAATATATTTCACTCAAAGATTCAAAGTTTCAACTGGAAGATTCAACGATTCAACTCAAATACCTTGCATAAATACTGTCAGATCTTCAGAAATGAAACTTTAGAAATGAGAAATGAAAGTATAGACTGAAGCTAGGTGCTTTGTCAAACTAATTAATTTGTGATATCTTTTATTCTCTGGGATTATTTGCTTATAATGTATATTTTATATTGTTACTGTCATACTGTTGTTGTTGTACTCAAGCAATATTTTTAGCTTTCATAGTTGACTACATTCCTGTTTGTCTTGTCATTTAAATTTTGTTTTTAATGAACTTTTTCTAGCTTTCTGTTTTATGCATCTCAATGAAATGAGAAAATTGCTTGGATCATTTAAACGTCTCCTGCTGGAAATTGATTCAAATTGTTAGCAGGCTTTCTGAAAACGATGACACACATTCCCTTCCCAATTCTTTTTTTTCCTTTTTTGATAAAGTCTCTTGGACCAGTTCTCTTTTACCACAAGCACAACATAATCTTGTACTTTTTATTGCGTAATTTTTCAATTGTGTTCATTAGCTGAAAATTTCCTTAACATATTGGGTTTGATTGAAATAAGTGAAATTCATAAACCATAAAGGAATCGATTTCCTTTTT